ATGTAAGGGAGAAGCTTGTCTTACTACATTATTTGCTTAAAAAGAAGAAAATTTCTAAGCTTGGGCTCTCGCTTGTTGGCTAAACCTCTTTTAGACTTTCTTCTCAACTCTAGTAATGCCCCCACTCTTTAGCCCCCACTTTTTGCAAAATTTTGTTTAAATTTAAAAAATCCCTAACAGAGTTAAGAACACGTCCATCAGTTATATTCTTAATAAATTGGTCAGCCATATTGTAATGCATAAGTTTTTCAATTTCTTTCCAATCACTCGTCATACGTTTAATTAACAAAAAAGCATTAACTGGATTCATTACAGCTTCCTCCTGAAATAATTCGAAAAATTTATTTTTTAAATATTCGTTTCCATATTTGTCCTTGATTTTTTAGTTTTCTCACACTTAAAGATGACCTTCAAACTAATTTTGGACGTTTCTATTTACAGTCATCGACGAAAAGTCTATTTATTTTCAATGTTATTTTTAAAATGTCAGCCTTTAAAGATTTTTTTTATAAATTATATGAGGTTTTTGATCATAAAAATATTTTTAAAATTCGTTATAGTTGACGAATGTTTTTAAAATTCGTCAAAATTCGTCATAGTTTTATTATTCGAAAAATAGACCTTCAAATATAGCATGGGATGGGAATGGGGGATTGGGATCCTTTTGGGTTGAGATTTGGGATCTTTGGGGGGTTTTGATTAGGATCTTGATTTGTGATTTAATTTTGGATTTCAATCATGATTTGGTATCCCTTCCGTTTCCGTCTTCCACCCACTTGCGTCTTTTATCCGATTTAAAAATACGGAAGGGCCCATCCCTTTCTACAGTATACAACTTCACGGAATTATTTTTCCGTTATTTCGTCGATTATTTTTTTTAATTTCTTTTTAATTTAACAAAATATTACATCAAGCTGTCCAGGTACTAATTGTCCTCCTCTAAATTTTGACCTTCCACTAGGATCATAAAGAGCATTAGCATACTCTTCAGCAAATCTAAAAACTTTTTAAATAAAAATTAATTTTTTCTTTATTTATAATCGGACCTCTGTTTTGCGTACACCCTGAGTCTATGAAAATTGCACGTAAAATGGGAGGTTTATCTAAAATCGGAGGTATCTTTAAGAAACTCTTCCTACCCATTGATCGACCAAATAAAATTCTAAAAATTTTGAGCGTATGCCAGGGATAGGTCGAGTTTTCAAAATTTTCTTCAGGTCGGGTTTAATACTTCCCATCAGAGGTGGGCGGAACAGCCAGAGGTGTCGGAAATCGGAAGAGCCGGAAATCGGAACTGGCTCAAAAGTCGGAACACGGAAATCGGAAATCAAAATTTTTTTGGAAATCAGAAATAGGAAGGAAAAAACGCCGAAAATCGGAATTCCGACCCACCTCTGCATCCCATCCCTAGTGTACGCAAAATCAAGGTCTGCCAAATAAAAATTTAAATTTCCCAACTCTCTCAATTTATTTAATCTTTCTTGTTCTGATTTAATATATTGCTCGATAACTTGTGATGTCCCAGAAACTTCACTTAACAATAAATTTTCTATATCAACCATTGCCGTAAAGACATCCGAAGCTTTATTATAATTAAATAATTGAATAAATAAAATTAAATAATTTAATAAAATTAAATTATTTTTGGGGAAAGGTGACAGACAAAAATTCATTTTATTTTTAATTTTCTAAAAAAATTTTTATTTAAAAAAATTTTTTTATTAGAATGACTAAGAAAAAGATGAAAAGGTTAAATTTAAATTATAAAAAAATTATTTAAAATTCTAGAAAAAAATTTTTTCCTGACTTCACATGATTAAATAAGGAATTTTTAAAATTAAATAAATTAAGAGCCTTTAATTTAAAGGCAACTTTTATTTATAAAAACGTGGATTAAATCCCGTGTGATACGCGATGGATAAGCAAAAGCTGTATAAATTTTAGGTGGTAGATGGAAAAAGGAAAGTAAAGAAAGAAGTAGTGAGAGATAAAACTACTTTGGAAGTAGTGAGAGATAAAAAAATTAAAATTTTAGGACATAATTTAAAATTATTGGAATGTCATTTCTTAATAAAATAAAACTTGCCAATGCTTTTTATTTAAGAAAAATATTCACACACAATTTTTGATGACGTGTCCTTGTTCTACTCCTTCTACTTACCACAACCATTGATGAAAGAATATATTTTTATATGTAACTGCTGCTGCGCAATTTTTGCTGAAACGGGAAAGGAAAGAAAAATGTGTAGAAAAATGCTTGAGAGGAGAAAAGGATTTTTTTCACGTATAAAGCATTAAAAAATCACTGCTTTTCGCCCCTTTTTAAATAAAATTTTTGGTGCTTTCCGTCCTTACCGGTTCTATTAATTCTCTACTCCTTTGCTCTTTGTGTATGAACATTTTTTCCAGTCATTTTTTTCCATTTATGGATTAAAATATGTAAGCAGATTGATTAATTCTTTGATTGAAATAATGATTGGTTCTTTTAATTTTTTGAAACAATTTTTTGAAAAAATCACCTGTACTTACTTGTGTCCGTCATATGAGTGTGAAGGTTTATCGTCCTTCAATAAACCTATAATTAGGTCTTTATGAGGTAACTTTCCTAAATTTAGAAAAAAACAAAGAAATCTTCTAAAAACCATTAATATGTTCATGCTTCACATACTAACGTTAAAATTAAATAAAAAGCATACCAGAACAATCCTAAACTGATTTAGTGATTTTAGACTTTTCTCTTTCGATCATTTTTTTAAATTTTCAATAAGACGATGATACAGAGATTCACTAACAACTTTTAAAACAACTCTTCCCCATTCTTTTCTTGTTTTGTCAATTCTTTTTATAAAAGAAGAATAAAATTAATAACACGTTGCATATTTCATTCACTTTTTTAGCTGCGCACGTCAATTTTGTTTTACATCGCTATAGGCGGTTGTTCTCCTTTTGTTTAGTATGTCAGCCAGAGCGATGGAGTGATTTCCTCTTAATTTTTAAGTACTTTGTGTTCTGACTTTTCTGATCTCTCCAAAAAATCGAAACAAAATTTGCTTATATTTAAATAAAATAATCAAAAATATTTATAAATTTTAATAATAACTAGCTAAAAATGTTCTAAATAAGTACAAAAAAATCTTGACTAGAATACATAAAATTGAATAAAAGATACATAAATATTTTGGGGTAATTTTCTGTTAAGCCCCCCCCCCCACTTTCATTTTCGTCCTTCCAAAATAGTAGGGTTTAGTGTTATGCACTATGTATATCACTAAATCCCCTTAATCCTCCGATCTCATATACGTTCACCGATATTCCTCTTTTTTTGTAAAGCAAGTGGATTAAGTGATATATCAGAGGAGTTTGAGGGATAACTATGGATTTGTAAGAATATTGCCGAATCCAGAGGATATAGGCATAGGGAAAAGAGAATTTAGGGTATATCGGAATATCAAGAATTAAAGTGGACTTGGTAGGATATCGAGCTTAAGGTGACCTAAAAGCCGTATCGGTATTCCAGATACGGCTTTTAGGTCACCCGGCAACTGAACCCTATTTTCGCGATAAAAAAAGAAAATGAGGTCGGATACAAAAAAGTTACCATATTAGATCCCCTGGTACCTCTTGCTTCAACTTCCTTTTTAAATCTTAAGACACAGATCCTAACAACAAATTTTTACAATATTAAGTATGTTTCTTATAAAATCTCTTTAAAGAAAGGTTGCAAAAGACGCATCACTAATTTCTCTTAAAATTAATTGAACTGGATTGTTTGTGTCAATACAGGTTTTTTGTTCTATTTGGCCGTTGTATTTATCTGTTAATGTTGGGAGAATAAAATTGGGAGAAACACCGTTTTGCTTTTTTGTTATATTTTGAGCCAGCAAAGTTGAAGGACATTCTTCATTGACCTTTAAATTAAACAAATTTTTGAATGATTATGAAAAGAGAGAAACAAAATAAATTTTATATTTGTTTCTGCTTTTAATGGTATTAAAAAGGTCGGTTACAATTAATCTCTATATAGTGAATAATAGGAGCTCGTCTATAGAGACACTTAGTTGTTTCAGGAAGGAGATAATAAATTGTGATCCTAGAAAGAGTCCGCAATAGGATGCTTCACTGAGGAGGAGTCTATTATAGAGAAGTTCACAACAGGGAGAGTTTCGTTATAGAGAGTTCATTATAAAGAGATATATGGGATATAAATTTAATTAATGGCATATTCTGGACAATAAGAATAACGTGAAATACACGAATGAATTGACGAATGATTAAAAGATAAGGTGATTAGATATTTAATTGTATGTTGGAAGAATATTTTTTCTCATAAAAATTAAAGAAAAGAATATTAAATTTACCTCATTTTCAGATTTTTCTTTTTTTGAGGGTCCGATTAAAAGAGTAGTCGAAGAAGAACGACGCGAATTTGATGAAGAAGAAGCTGCAGATGACCGACGACGTTTGACATTAGCTGAATGTCTTCTCCGACACATTTCTGCTGGGGAATATAATAAATGTTGGTGAAGATTTTCTTGTTGAAGATGCTGGGATTCTTGGCTAAAAATAAATATGTAAAATTATTATTTAAAAATAACTTTTCCGAGTCTTCATTTAAAAAATTAATAGGAGGATAAATAGCTCATCTAGAGATTTATTTAGATATTTTGTTAAATCTAGAGAATGGATTGGGAGTTTCGTACGAGAATCGATATCTTGACGAATATCAAGTTTGAGATCTTGATATTCTTCAAGTTTGAGCTCTTGTCTAGGTCCGGGCTCTTATTAAAACATTCAGACATAGGATTAAAAGAGTCAGGATAGTCCTCAGAGCGAGAGGAACCTAATCGAAAATTTCCAGATATTCGAGGGTTATTTTTTATATTCCACAAAATCTGGCAAAGATTGTCAGGTTTAGGCTTCTTATTTTTAGCCTTAGAAGGGCTAAATTGCTATTTTAGGTATACTTGCTATTTTATAAGACTTATTTAAATTTTTCTACCTTCTTCTCCTTATCCTTTCCAAGTCGGAATGATGACCACCTCCAGCATTACTAATTGTCTCCATTCGGCGCAAATATTTCCTTGGCATTTCTGCTGTCGAGTTTTGATTCTGTGCAATGAAGCATGTTGCCACGGAGGAACGTCGCCTCAACACAGAGAGAGGAGGTTGAGGTACATTGCCTACTGGCAAAAAAACCAAGAAGGAAAAAACACAAAAAAATTGTTAAAAATTTTGTTAGGCACGCAGAAAACAGCAAATTTTGTAAGCTTTCAAAACCCCTCCTGTTTCTTCGTTTTTTGTCGCTTATTTGATTTTAGGGAAAACCGAAAACAGCAAAAAATGTTAATTTTTGTTAGTGTTAAAATCTGATATTTTTCTTTCTAAGGCGCAGTACAACATTTAATGTTGGTATATTTTTAACAGATTTTTTAAAATTACCAGCAGATGGTGTCTCGCTATAACCTCCATTTGTTGAAACAGTACAATATGAGGAAATAGGCATTTTATTATAATGACCAGTTGATTGTTGCTCGGGACTGGTTATTTGACTGCAAACACAACAAAAAATATTTTTAAAATTTAAAAAATGTTAGAAATTAAAGAAATTATGGAATCGTAAATTGAGGAGGGTTCTTTAATTATTGAGTTTTTACTTATCTGCTAGCCCCTATTATTTTCGACTTACGACACAAATAGTAGCTTATTCGACGCATCTCTTCGAGCTGAGCCAAATGGTATAAAATTAATGAGACCTTGAAGATCCCAATCAACCACTAAGGTATTGGAGGCACTCTGAGACAATCAGAGAGGTTATCTGGGAGTATAAACTGGATTAGGGGTTTTCACCACTTTTAGTGTATATTAATTATACCATGTGGTTTGCATTGAATTGAATTAATTTCAGTCGACTTTGGTGTCTAAAGGTTTGGTGTCTAGAGGTTTTTTTATTAGTTATTCAAAAAACACCGCAAATCACTCACATAAAATTAAAAAATTGAAAATACCTAATAAAACGCATTTGTTGATTCACTAATTTCCCTACTGCAGAACTTCGTGTTCTCACATTTTTGTAAGGTTGAAACAGGCAGATATAAACCTTTGGTGCAAAGAAACAGGTTAAAGCAACTGTTCCGCTTAATGAAATGGTAATACATAGTGAAGTGAGTTGGATCTAAATTTGTTTCTTTAATCTTTTAAAGTGAAAATATTTAATTAAGAAAAAATAGATTTAGGTATGTATATGTAGAATTAGACTCGCAACTAGGGTTCCTGGTTCGGAACCAAGCTGAAGAAAAAGCCGAAGCCGAAGAGTTAAGTCGCTGTCGTTTAGTTTAGGATATCTAAAGATTTCCTTATTCGGAAAATTCATAGCCCGATTTAGAAAAGTGTGGCTCTAATAATTGCTTCGAATGACAGTTAAGCTTGAAAACGGGAATCCTAATTAAGAGATATATAAAGTTCATAAGTTCAACAAAAGCCCGCAGTTGGAATGACTCTTTAGTAAACCCACTCGAAAGTTATTCTGTGTAGCAAAATAAATAGGTCCAAATGCTAGCCAAAGTATGCTAGTTGAATACATTGTAAATCCAATAAGTCGAGTTTCATTAAAATTCTCAGGTATTTCGCGTGTTTTAAATGCTTAAAATAAATTAATCTTTTTAATTAAAAATTTACAAAAAATTTAAAACCATAAATTGTGCAAGCAATTATGAGAATTCCACAATAGAAAAGTGAAATAAGTAAATGTGAAAGTGTAGCCTTTAGAAAATTTTCTTAATTATTAAAAGTTTAAATTAGGGTAGTCCCCGTCCCCCAGACGTTTTTTGGCAAAAATGCCGACTCGATCCCGACACATCCGACCCCGAAGGCTCGGGACTGATTTTAAGCACCCTTTCAAAAAAAGGATAGAAATCCCAACAATCTAAATAACCCTTTGGGAGGTTTTATACAACTCACGGTATTTTAGTCATATTTAGGAATATAATTTTCGATACAACTTTAAAAAGTTTCAAGAAATTAAATTAGGTTGACCCTACTTTGCATGTTAGAACAGCTTCAGTACGCGATGGATATTGAATAGCAGTTCCGGGTGGTTCCAACCAAATCCAAACTAGAGCAATTCCAAGCTGTACAGATGCAAGGATTGCGCAAAAGAAAACCTTTAAATTTTATAGAAAAGATTTAAAAAATTTTAATTGGTCTACTTGTGCAGTAGGCCCAATCCATTTTGGCCTTAAAGCGCTATTTGGCTTAAACACGCGTGTTAATCTATTGGTTTTTACAAGAATTGCTGCATAAACAGTTGCCATTGATAAACCGATAAGTATTCTTGTTAAAGTACACACCTTTGATTTTTAAATGATTTGAGAGGAATTTTGTTTTTTCTAACCAATTCTGATGGGGGACTGACCAAAACAAAAGTAACTCCATAACATAAAGCAATTCCGGCCAACATACAATAACATAATTCACGGCCAGAAGCCATTACCTTAAATTATTTTTGAAGTATTCTAAGTTTAATTTTATTCTGATCACAATCTCTCATTCTCTGAAATAACTATACTGCTGATGGAAGTAAGGGTAGGAACCAGGGATGGGGAGTTGATTTTTTCGAGAAAATTTTGACAACCCGATCAGACATTTTTTCTCAACCCATCCCTGCTTGGAACTAAGGGAATAGGGATTAGACTGATGCTAACAATTTACTTTTGTCAGCATAGTTTGTCTTCAAAATACATGAACTAGAAAAATAACCTCAAGATATAAACAAAAAATATGTATAACATCTGCTTAAAACTCTCAATTATCCCTAGTTATCTGAGATAAATAAACAAAATTTAATTAGTTACCACAGGTGTATAATTGTATCGAATAAATACGGCAGTCACTGCACAAGTAGCCAGCAAACCTATACCAGAAAAAATGGCAGGAACAAAGGCCCAAGGACTATCCCAATCCAAATGTATTGGTCTTATAGGCTCACAAATACTTAATTCTGCATTAGGCACTTCACCAAGAGGGCATTGGATACAACTGGAAATTTTAATAAATTTTCGTTAATTATTCTTTATTTTTTGCCTTGTTTTGTTTGGTATGATTGATGTACTTGTATCGCAAGGAATACAAGTCCAACAACAACTTTGATCTTGATAAGCTCTATAATGGCCTTCTGCACAGGGTAGGCTGCAAACCGAAAGAGGAATATAGTTTATGTCTTCCTCAATAGTTCCAGTTGAAGTTACAATACGCTGAATATTTAGGGAAATAATTTTTAAAATAATTTAAAAAATTTGTGAGTAATCGAGTAATTTTTGGATCAAGACGTTACACAGATCTAAAATCAGGTTCGGACCAGAAGTTGGACAAAACACAAATTTAGAAATTATAGGAAAATCCTGCCCATTCTCATTCTGTCCAAAAAATAGTTTAAGCCCTCCTTCATCGAATTGTATAATTCCTTAATATTCACCTGAAGCCCGGCTCGGATATCTGCCACATCCAGGTCAATAAGTTCGTTATCTATCCAACCACCAACTCTTCGATAAAGTCCTCTTTCGTCCAACTGAAATATACTGTATTGCCCATTTCCGTCACCATTAGCGTCAATAAGGGGTGGTTGGCCATCTGAAGATAAATTGGATAATTCGAAAAAAATCATTATCATATCTCTTCCAAATATTAAAAATATATAATTTTAAAATTACCTATAAGCGAAACATTTCGATAAAGTTTTTGTAGTTTTTTACCATCGAAACCACTTTTGGCCAATTCACAATTTTCCCATTGACCATCAAAACCGCAATTCTCCTATTAATTAATTAAAATTAATGAAATAGGTAAAGACATATGGACTGAAGGAAGTACTAGCTCATGAAAAGATATATTAGATCTGAGACATAGCTCTAAAAAATCATCTAAATTGAATGCAGGCCGAAAATCGGAATTTTGAAGCAGCTCTGATGTGAGATTGAATAGAACCATAGGGGAAAGAGCCCAGACCCGAATATTTATTTTTAAGTAATGTCCAAATACCCAATTGCCATTAATTACCTTTATATAATTATGCAAAGCTTTAGCTACTAACTGAACAGCATCATAAACAAAAGGAACATAAGCTTCTTGTTTAAAATAATGACTACAAAAATTCTTTTAAGTAAAAAAATTTATTTTTTGGAAACCTTTGGGTTTTGAAACAAGACCCAAAGTTTGGATGGAAATGTTCTGAACAATTCATAAATTGCCAATATTCACTAAGAAAAGTATTTGAAGGTCCCAATGCTGCAAAATATTCAGCAAAACCTTTAAAATCATAAGCCATATTTAATTCAAAAATTATTACTCCTTTATACCTTGAAGATACCTAACTTTTGGGGCAACAGTTATTGCTCCGTTGATAATATGTTCAAATCCTTTTACCACAGAAACTTTTACACCCCAACTGTCACTTGCTACGAACCTTTAATATTTTAAGATTATTAGGTAAGTTTAGGTTTATTGAAAAGCTGCAAATGAACCTCTTAAGAAGCCACTGAACTATTAGATACCCCTAGGGGCTAAAAAATCGTATCATACAAAAGGGTATTTAGGTGGGGATATATAAATAGACCCGTCAGTCATTGTGGGGATATACCCATCCCCATTAGCTGCTAGCCAAATTCTGAAAAAGGCTATAAATTAAGGTAGATCTAATTCTAGGGGTATCATATAGTGAGAGAGACAGTGTAATATAATTTTATGATTTGGTAGTGGCTGAATCCCACAAAATCGCGCGTGAGATCCCAATCCACGCCTTTTTAAGTTAAATTTTTAAAATAATTACCAAAAATAATTTCTAAGTCTAGGCATATAAGGCTTAGTCTTTTCTGAAAGTATTATCAGCCTTTTAAGATTAGAAAGAAAACGACGCAAATTATCTTCATCCACAAACATAACAACACCTCTAGCTTTTGAATTTCTCATTCGTAAAAGTAATTCTCTGAAATTCTTTGTTTTATATAATTTTTATGAATCAGATCTATTAAATCTGATATTGAAAAAATTCATTATGAGTTAGACAAAGAGGAAAGGATCCAAACACGATTAAGGATTGTATTATTAAGTAAACATCTGAAAATCTGGACATAATCCAAGACCCAACACGAGTGCCACGAATTCTTTTTATGGGGTTAGGACCTTAAAATCTTGTGTCCGAGTCATAATACAATGAAAATTCTTGGGATACTATCCAATTTTTAAGAATCCTCAAAAATTCCCCTACTCGTATTGTTCATCAGTCCATCTTCTACTTATTTTATGAACATCTCCATCTATACAAATGTTCAAATCTGTAGCAGCAGCTCGAAAACTATCCATTCCCCTTTCCCCGTAACTTCCAGTATCTACAATTGCATGGACATAATTCCAGCCTAGAGCGGCGACCTTTTAATTTAAAAAATAGGGCATCAAAAAGTTATTTTACTAGATGTGCCATAGCTTTAGCCTGTAAATTGTCTGGAGGCACGACACGGGAAAAATAAGCAAAACTGGAAAATAAAGGGAAAAGTTTCTCTCGAAATTTATTTTTAGGAAAATTCACCGAGGCTTTTCACTTAATTCAACGCCCGTTGAAGAATAGCTGACCATAGGAATCTTTTTTTTGAAAATTTTTTTGGATTATTAGTAGGAAATAATTTACTTTAAAAAGTTGTAGCATTGATGATACCATAACTGAGACCTAAAATTATTTTTTATTCTTTAAGTCAGGCTAGCATTTCCAATAGATTTTTTTATTCAGAAATTTTTAATATTAATTTACTTGAGAAGAAGCAGCCCCTATAACTGCAGCTATTTTTCTCCCTTTATTATTTTGTTCAGATATTAAAGATAATTTTTCATTAAAATATTGTTGTTCTCCTTCTGCACATACAGACTGGATAAATAGTAAACTTTGTTCCAATGCATGGGTTTCCACAGAACTTGAAATTTCAGAAGTCTTTTATGCTTTGCTTTAGTCCGACAAAATTTTTGCAGACAAAAAATCCGCAAAAATAGTCCGCAAAAATCTGTTCGCAAAAATCTGTCCGCAAAAGTCTTCCGCAAAAATTTGTCCGCTAAAATTTGTCCGCTAAAGTCTGTCCACAAAAATTTGTCCGCAAAAGTCTGTCCGCAAAAATATTTTTTTAATCTACCATGAGTCTAAAATTTGTGCTCCCAATTGAATCCCAGGCAGAATACGATGGTTTTTGTTGATTTGTTCCAATGCATATAGCATAGACACCTTTGAAATTAAAAGGAGATGTCTAAGTTAAAAAAATTTTACCATCCGTTGAACTCCCTGATCAGCCTTGATCCGCCCACAAAGAGTAGAACCAGAAGTATTTCTGCTACTCTCGTGTATTGGAAATAGGCCTCCAATGAGTATTGAACCAGGTACTTGGATTTGTCTTGGAGTGGCACTTGAGAATGAGAGAAAAGTGAAACTGGCAACTGTAGTAAATGAAAATAATATGGTGGGGAGGAAAAACATAAATATTGAAGTAATTAAAAATAGGAAAAAAAATTAAAAATAAATCTGTAAAAAAATAAAAATATTATTAGGTATTTTGATAAAATTATTAAGTATCAAAGAGCTAAAGCAGGGAACTGAAATTTGACTTACTCGTTCCGTCTTCCATTTTTAAAATTGATCTGCAACATCACTTTAGGGGAATGTAGGGTTTGAAAATAAGTATCTAGCTCGCCGGAAGTTCCGGTTCCGGTAGGCCGGAAGTTCCGGAATTTTTTAGTCCCGGTTCCGGATCCGGTCAAAATTTCAGTTCCGATTCCGGTTCCCCAAATTTGCGGTTCAGGCGAAGCTCTAGCGAGCTGCCAGGGCGAACTTTTTTGGAGAACAAGATCTCGGGCCTAAAAATTATAGTCGAGCGGGAAGAGGGAATAGAGTTCGGGGACCAATAAATAGATAAAATTATAAAATTGTGTTGATGTTTGATACAAAACTATATGTATTTAGATATAGTTTAATATTAAAATTTTGTTTTATTTTGTGAAAATCTATCTAAAAAATTAAAATTAATATCGTCAAAAAATTAAAAAAAAAGTTAAATTCATCGAGAACCAGTAAATGTTTTATGGGAAAAGTCACAAAAAAGGCCACAGATGGAAGGAAGTTTCATTTTTCCCACTAATGTTAAAGAATAAAAAAAGTTTTACTTAAAATATTTCTAAATGTTTGTTTGGGGGAAATAAATTTTTTTTCTACGAGAAAATAAATTTTATAAGTTAAAGTTTTAATAAAATTTTAGAATTTGTATTTATATTTACGTCAAAGTTGTATTTATAGATACCGGAGGTGAACCTTAAAATTTTTTCCGATTTACCTCTGATAGATACGAACTAGTCAAAGTTTACCAGTTTTAGAAAGGTTGATACTAAAGATGGACCGAGAAAATAGATGAAAATAAATAACCCAGCATTGGGTTGGATGGGGGCACAGTCGGTTGTGCTTCGGTTTGGGCTCTTTCCGTGATGGTTCAATTCCATCTCCCTTTTTCCACAGCATTAACGGCATATTAGCTTTTCGAGATATCTATACCGATTCTTATATGAAAATCAAGATACAGAAAATTATAAATCTCGATAGCCGAGTATTTTGTTCGAGAGCTTGTACTCAGTCCTTGCTCTAATTAAATAATATCCTACCAGCACGCGTAAATGAAACGGATTTCGAAATACGAAATGAGGAAAAATATGAAACAGGCAGCAACAAAGTGTTCTGAGGTACATAAAATATGTATAAATAAACTTTTTTAAAAAAATATTTTTGCCCATTCAATATAATTAATTTTAATGCACAAAATAAGATAAAACAGTAGGAATTTTTTGGAAATGTTAAAAGTAATTTCCTTTAACGAAAATGAGTGACTTTTCATTTTGCCATTTCTGAACATTTATTTCCACTTTTTTCATTAATTTTCCCATAACAATTAACAAAAAATTTATTCGAAAGAAATTGTGTAAAAATATTTTTTGTTTGTTGATGTCAACAAAAAGTTTTCTTTTTTCCTTTTTATTTTTAAAGTTGAAGATATTTTTTTTGGATTTTTGAGAAAATAATAATGAAAGGAGGAAAGCCACAAAAAAATTTTTTTAATGAATTATCCGGCACGATTTTATATAAAAACGGAAGCAAATGTTAATTATGATTAGATATAAGTGTCAATTGGATTTTACTATTAAAAAAATTTTTTTTAATCGGCTAATATTAAGAAAATTAAAATCATTAAAATATAAATTTTCAAGTATATTTAGAACAAAATTTAGAGAACATCATATACTAATATTAACGGATTTGACAATAGAGTTGACAAAGATTGTACTAGAATTCGTCCTCATACCATTCGGAGCAGTTCATTTCAGTCCGCACGTTTTAGTCCCCGATGCATATATCTCAGTTCAGTCCCCGTGGATTTAATAAGTTTAAAAAGAATTAAAAGGGATATCTGAGGATTTGGAGGGATTAAAGTGGACATCAAGGGACTTGTCCGTGACTCGAGGGTTCAAAAAATTAATGTGGATATTGAGAGATTTAGAGGAAATAAAAGGGATATGTGGCGGGTTGAAACGTGGGGACTGAAATGAGGTGTACCGCGTAACGATTGCAAACAAAATCGAAATTTGAAATCCAAATTGAAATTTCGATTTGACAATTGAAAATTTCAATCAAATACATACATAAAATTGAAAAACATGGAAAATTTTAAAAAAATTTAGAGAGTCACAATCTTGTTTTTTTTGTGTTATAATTTTTTAAATATTCGCCTAAAGACAAAAATCTCTTTGAAGATTTAAAAGTATGTATGTGTCCAACAAATGTGTCCAAAAACAACACTTTTGGCCTTTTTAAAAGAAAAAATGAGGGAAGATTTTAAAAATAAATATTTTTTTTGCTTCTGCCAACAGATTTTTTTCCCTAATTGACTCAAAAGAGGGAAAAATGGGGAGAAAAAATTTTTTTAAAAGAAGTAAAAAAATGAAAGAAGAAAAAAATATGTGAGAATAAATAAATAAAAATATTTTTTTGACAACAAAAAAATATTTGTGTTCGCTTTTTAGCTTCTTCATAAAAATAAATAAAAATATTAAAAATGATCAAAAGTTTATATAAAATAAAGAGAATCAATAAGGAAAATTTAAAAAATTATTTGAAAGAAATTTAAGATGTTTTGAAAATAAAATCTTTCAATGTGAAAAAATAGAGCAAAAAAAAGTGTTTAAATAAATCAGAAAAAGAATACCCGAATAAAATAATCAGGGAAATATTCAATGAAAAAATTAAACAAGGGAAGCATAAATACTAGGGTTTCACCTGAACCGAAATTTTGACTGAATCAAAACCGGATCCAATTTGAGTTCCGGATCCGGGAACCAGATCCGGAACCGGAACTTCCGGTGAAACCCTAATGAATACTAAAAGATTAAGGCACGAAGGAAAAGAATCCTGTAAAAATATAAATCGAAAATTCCTGAATTATTTCAAGTCCCAATTCTCATAAATTTTTGGGAGTCGAGACGGGAGAATCACTAATATGTAAAACAAGAGATTAAGAATTATTTGAGCTTAATTTAATTGCTCAGATTCTGTGCTATGTGGAGAATTTGCAAAATACCTTACAGAATAAATTAAAAATGAATTCTGTTGTTCTGAGAAATGGAAACTAAAATTATCCCTTGGTATAACAAAATTAATTCATGAATGAATCCAAAAAAATTATTCAAAGAATTTATTTATGAATTGACTTATAAAAATAATTATTAAGATAATGGAAAGCAAAAATTTGCAAAATAAAAGTCAAAAATTGATGTCATTTTTTCAAAAAAAAATCTTTTAATTCTTCATCTATAATAATTATAGAAACCTTTTATTTACTAAAAATTAATTGTTTCTTTTGAAGCACTTTAAAAATAAAAAAAAAAAAGAAATTTTTATGATTTTTTAATATTTTGTTTTAATTTTGCATAGGCTAAGAAATTAAATGACGTTTGTTTCAAGCAAAAAGTAAAAACCAGTAAAGGGGAACCCGTCTTTCTCTCGAGGACAGAACCCGACCCCGAAAAATTTTTGAAAACCCAACTCTAAACCCTAAAAATATTCTCTGTTAAAAATTGTTCCCCGACGGAGGAGAAGGGCAACGGGACGGGGAACTTTCGTGGAAGGGGAACAACCCTAGTTAAAATGTGTGTCCGCTTTAGAGAAAATAACCAGAGATGTATAGCACAATACCAGAAGCATGAATTTAAAAATAAATTTTTTTAATTATATTTCCTATTATAGACAAATGACCAAAAACCTTGCTAAATATTTTTTAAAATTTATTTTCGTTTGGAGAATTAAAAATAAGAGAAGGTAGAACACTTATAAATTAATTTAAGAATGATGTGTCATATGCAGAACAAAACTTTTATTAAAAATAAATGGAGAAGCAAATAAAGTTTCAAAATAGGATTGCAAAAAAAATAAAAATTTAATAGAAAATTAATAAAAATACATACTAGGGAAATAAGGGATATGCCCCGCGCGGCCATAACGGCGAAAAGCCATAACTTGCTTCAAGATTTCATAATCTTACAGATTTAGTATCAAACGATTCCGCTCATCAAGCTAGGGAGATTGGCACTAAAATTGACAAGGGCCAGTCATTTTCTAGCAAGTTATGGCCGCGAACCGTTTCGGGCTGTCCCCGAAAATAATTATCAAAGTGAATCTCAGATGGAATTAAATAGAAAATAAGCAAGAATATCCACAAGAAAATAATTCTTTAAAAGAATTGTCTTAACTCACGCCATGCCAAAAAATATAAAAACAAAAAAATTGTCTAAGTATGTTCAAAAAACTTGTAAAAAGGACAGGAAAGTTTTTTTGCTTGTTAACTTGGCCTTTTAGGAATTATTAATTTGACAAAAGTCATTATAAATATTATTTTTTGTTTAGAGACAATAAAGGCGTGAAATTTAATTATTTATAAGGAAAATGGAAAAAAAAGAAAAGATTTTTTAAAATAATTAGTTAAAGTTTTAGATAAGAAAATAACAGAAAAATAATATTTAAGAAAGTAAACTACTCTAAATTAATTTTATTTTTTATTTAATTTACCTATTGGGTTCATTAAAAATTTAAAATCATTGCCAGGAAAACGAGGATATTTTTAATATTTTTTAAATTTAATTAATTTAATGCAAGTAAAATTTGGCATAGTCGGATCTCGCTCAGTTTTAATACCTCTTTTAAGCCAGAAAAAATATTGTATAGGAAAGATATTATCCTCGTAATGAAGAAAAGAGGGCGACGTCTAATCAAATTAAAACACGAATTCACAAGTGAGAAGAACCCCAAGTAACGTATACTTTGTTAGCAATATTAGGAGTTCACCTCGTACAGTGATGGTCAAAATTATAGGGACAAGAGTATTTGAAACGAAAATCGCCTATTTGATTAAACACTCCATTTAATGCTCTATTTAATAAGTATAAAATTTGCTTGATTAATATCTTTAAAATCCAACCCAGAAACCTGTTATCGTTAAAATACAGAGGAAATAAAAATATTTATTAATAAATTATTTAAAGCAAAATTAATAAATAATTAAATAAATTAAAAATTCAATAATACAAAAATTATTAAAAACAAAATTTAAATATTTTATTTACTATTTTTAAGTTCAACAACATTAATTTCACTTTTCTCGCTTTGAGGTTCCTGAGTTGGAAGAAAATTTGCATGTACACATTCGGTTAATGAAAAATCTTTTTGACATTGGAAACTGTTTTAAATTTAGAAAATAAGTTTTAACCAAAATTATATGTATATCAGTGATAGTCGGGAGTAAAAAAGCCGAGTCGAAACCGAGAAACAACCCTGAGATCGAGAATGAGAGCACAAAAAACCCGAGAAATTTCCCGACTCGAGAACCGATACCAAGAACCGATACCGAGTACTAATGTATACGTGTTTTATCAAAACCAGAATTCGGACAGAGGACCACGATAAACCAGATCATGATTCCAAGAATCATGGTAACGTGGTGTCCGAATTTTGGTTTTGATAAAACGATGGTTTACCGATGATAAAAGGTTGTGTTTTTAATTCTATAACAACGATGGACAGTACCACCCATCAAGACATCATGTCCAAGTTCAATAAAAAGTCCATTTCCGTCAACACATCCTTCAAATATTTCTCAAGTAATAATCTTCATTTAAATTCACCTAAAACTTTGGTCATCCCTTCCCTGCTACATTGATAACGAATATGCTTTTCTGTCCAAATTTGTCCTGGCTTGTATTCAGCACTTCCATTTGAGTTAAAGCAACCAATAACTATTTAAATAGTGAAGGTTATATTATCCAAAACAATTAAGGAGTTGGAATAGAGTTCGGCATTTAAGAAAATGAGGGGTTGTTTTCAAAAGGAGACAGGGTTATGGGGTTTTTAGATACTGTGTGTTAGCACTGGAGACGATGGCTCCAAGAAAAAACCCTCGCTCATCCGGTGGACTGTGGTTGAATCCTAAACTGGAACGGCATACGTTACAATAAGTACGTATGCCGTCCAAGGAATTCCAAGGAAAAAAATCCAAGGAATTTTCAAATCCGGCCCCCACCTTTTCAAGTTATCCAAGATTAACTTAGCCTCAGGGGTTAATAGAAAGCTTAAATTTTCAAAATAATCAAAAATTTATTTACAATTAATTATATAACGTATTTTTCCATTCTCGGTTAGTTCACAACTATGCCTTCTATCAGATATAATTCTCGATTCACCAAGTAAAATTACAGCTTCTTTAGTTGAGTTAAGCAGAAAACAACATGAAAAATTTAAAAAATATATTTAAAATAATTTTTATTTTGAGTAGTCGGTCTTTGTTTAGTTGCTTTTTTATTTAGGTTACATTATTTTAAATTTGATTGGTTATTGGATGAAGGAGTGCCTAAATGGTACAATCAATTTTAGGTACAATTTTTCAACTCAAGGGTGTACGGAAAATTGAGGTCCGATTGTTCACTACCTTTAACAGCAACTCCATTTTCTTTACAAATAAGTTGAAAAGAGCCGTTTTTAAATGTCTCACCTTTAATAAAATTAAATTTAAAAAATTAGGTAATATCGAGTTATCCGCCCATATTTTGTTCTATATTTATCTAAGTCCCGTGCTATTAATTCAAAGCCTTTCCTGGGTTTATTGAAAGCTTCAATTAAATTATTCGATATTAAAAAGCTGATAAAGAAAATTGGCCTTTTGAGACAGGAGAGAATGCCTGAAAAAAGAAAATAGCGCGGATACCCCTATCAAAGGTTATAAAATTTATTTAAACACCAATATCATAATGTATTCCATTTTCGTAACAAGTTGATTCTAATAAATAAAATATAAATTTATTAGTTAATTAATTCTCCCGCAAACTTTGTTCATAAGTAACAGTTTGTCCTTTCACTTCACAACGATGTCTAATTCCTTCTTTGAGAAATGTCCGTCCAATCTTTTTATTTTTTTTAATTTTTATTAATTTATTAGTACCTGAATAACGGACATATCATCCGAAACACATGCTATAAATTTAAATTTTTTTGATTAAATTCAGTTTATATTTGGGTATATTAGCCTTTTTCTCCTTTTATTTGAGAATGCCTCTTTTTAAAATTAAAAAGAGGTTAGAGAAACCTTCCTTAGATGTCTCTACATAATCCCCCTTTTTTAATTTTTCAGTTTGATATTTTTAGAAAAATAATTTTGCTAAAATTTTCAGAATTTTCGCCGATTTTTTTTAATCGACATGTCGATTCGTGGTAAATCCTTCCTTTAGAAACACTCGCATCCTCCAACCCCATTATAAATCCCAACATACCAATAACTTCGGCAGTGCCGTTTTTACAATTATAATGAAAGTTGCCTTTTGTAAATGTTTTTCCATGCTCAAAAATTCCTAATCCAGCAATTAGACATGGCAATACTGCGAGGCGATGGTTTCCCTTCGCTATGAATGTGAAAATAGAAAATGAAAAAAATTAATTCCAAATTTAAAAATCGCAAAAATAAAGGTTAGATGAACAAATTAAGGGAACAACTCCCTTTATAAGTTTCGGACTTGTTAGATTGAAATTCTTTGTTTTATATTAGAAAAGAAGCAAGAAGTTGTGAAAACCTTGAGGAATAATTATCCGATTTTTTGCTGTTTTTGGATCCTCACCAAGAGGGACAAGAACTAACATATCATTCTCTTCATCAATAAAATCAGATAGAGGAGAAAAATTAAAAGGAAATGGAAAATAAATTAAAATAAAAATAATTATTTTATACATTTTTATTAATTAGTAGAGAAAATATTTTGATGAGAAATTGCTTAAATTTACATGAAATATCTTTTTTAGAGGAAGAAAAGTTTGGAGAGATGAGATACGCAAACCAAGGTCAAAAAAAGAATCTGGTTTGCTGTTGACCTTCAGGAATTTTTTCAACAAAGCGATGACGGAGATTTTATGTATATGAGATTTCCTAAAGTCCGCAAAATTTGTCCGCAAATTTTTTAAAAACATTTTTATTAAATTATGTAATACTTAAATTTTCCAGAGACATTTTTTCTGAGTCCAACCCTGAAGACCTGTACCCCGTAGACTTACACCCTGGTAATAACAGATAAAAAAATGTGAGTTGATCAAAAAGTTGTATAGGTCTTCAGGGTATTCGGCATTAATGGTGTAGGTCTTCAGGGTTGACCCCTTTTTATACATACTTTTTTCCAGGTCACCAACTTAAATCCAGATCTAGATCCAATAATTTCGAAAATACATATCTCTACTAGGTATGGTATTAATAATTTTTAAAATCCTCTTTATAACAACTCATAGACCAATTGTCCTCTGTCCAAAATTATTCTGTCCAATTGTCCTTTAGACTAATTGTCAAAATGTTCTATTGTCGTCATCAGAGCTGCACGAAAATTTTTCGTTTCGTTTCGTTTTCGTAGATTTTCGTGGATTTTTGATGATTTTTGTTTTGTTTCGTGTTTCGTTTGAAAATATTTTTTTTCGTTTCTTTCGTTTCGTATTTCGTTAAAAAAATATTTTCGTTTCGTTTTCGTTTCGTAAACCCAATTTTTAGACGAAAATGACGAAAATAATATTCGATGGATTTAGGCAATTTTTTTCTAATTTGTTGTATTTTTAAGCCAAAAATTGTAAATTTTTCTCCCGGGAACTGAAAATTAAAAAAATTTTGCCTGCGGCGCTGAAAATGGAAGAAATCTGGCTTCTTGGCTTCCAAATTTCTCAAAATTTTCGCCTGCGGCGCTAAAAACGGTTCCTTGTATCTTCAGTTTGAGTTGCCTAGGTCATTTTTACTGGTTATTTAAAGTGATTTGGATCAAGGGTGAGGATATCAGTCGATATAGAAGGATATCGGGGATCTGAGTTCCAGATCAGGAATGGGTGGAACTGAATTCCGACCCACCTCTGCCTCCGACCGACTCTGCTCACCACGCTTACCACCTTAATTAAATGGGCAATTTTGGAAGTAAATTTGGGGAAATAGAGAAATTAAATGGATAGAGAATGAGGCGGGATATAAGAATTCAAAGAGCATTAGAAGATTTTTGTGGATTAATACGGGTATCCGAGAGACACTTCCTCTTAATTACTCCATATCACACGATATATTTCTTACCTCCTAAATCGGGAATATCAGGGAATATGATGGATTAAGTGGATATCAAAGTATTTGAAGGGATATCAAAGGATTTGGAGGCTAATATTTGAATTCAATCAAATGTTTTATACATTTAGACACACGTACAACCTCGAAAAACTTATTATCTAGCATTAAAATCTAAAGATTTATAATTTAGATTTTTTTCGTTTCGTTTCGTTTCGTTTCGTGAAAATTGAGATTTTTTTCGTTTCTTTCGTTTCGTAAAAATGAAATTTATTTTTTTCGTTTCGTTTTCGTTTCGTAGATTCATGATTTTATTTTTTTCGTTTTCGTTTCGTTGAGGCCAAAATTTCATTTTCGTGCAGCTCTGGTCGTCATTCATGATTTCGAAATTTCTAGTTTTCTCTAGCTTTCTCGCTTTTTGTATTTGTTCGTTCCATTTTTTGCATTAGTCATCAACTTTTTTTATCTTTAAATTTTAAAATTTTTATTTTTAATTCAAAATTTAGATTTATTCATTCAACAATTAATTACAACTAAAATAATGTCTTATCCACAACAGCCTGGATGGAACGTTCAATATCCTGGTTTTTAATTTTATTTAATTTATTCAATAATCCTTTTAGCTCCCCAATATGGAGCTCCTCAATATGGTTCAACTCCTCATCAAGCTGAACATGGGGGAGATACTGGAGCGCCCAAATACACAATGAACTTTAACGAGCAGTCCATTCGTGCTGCTTTTATTCGAAAGGTCTTCATTCTTGTCGCAGTCATGGTTTGTTTTTGTATTTCTGTTAGGTAGACCAAGGCCAATGCCTGGGTTTTTCTGTACCCAGAGTCAATGTCCGGGTATTTTTTGACCTTCACGGGGTTTTCCTGGTCTACTACAGGCCAAGATCCGGCCCAGGTCATTGGATCAAACCGAGAGTCCCGGCTTTTTAAGAATCTCGATCTCTAATCTCTACTGTTAAGTTCGAGTGGGGGTAGATTCTCCAAATTGTTTGGTTTGTTGGGATGAAATCTTGGTATTTCAAGGCTTTCGTTTTTTCTCCTTCCTCTTGTCCATGTCTCATTTATTGAAATATAAATCCGAACAAATTCATTAATGCTTTCTTTTTGCAGCTCAGTGTTGTAGCATTGATGGGCGCTTTTCCGTTTTTCCATGAACCGACGATGCAATTTGTTAATGGAAATTTGGTTCTTTATTTGCTTGCATAGTTTGTTTTTTTAAATTATTGATTTATACAAATGAAGGAACTAGAAACATCTTTTCGGTAATCCTTAAGATCATTGGTCCCTAGAAAAAATGAGAAGTGCTCGTTCGATATTTTTGAGGCCTGCAGGTACGTGATCGAATGTGCTGAGTCCGAATATGAGCTTATAATTTGTGTATTTCGAATCCGGGACCCGGGTTCGACCAAGTCAGCACACTCAATTTACTTGCAGGCTCAGAAATATCGAACGAGCACTTCTCATTTTTTCTAGGGACCAATGATCTTAAGGATTACCATCTTTTCTTTTTGATCCTTTATACCCATTCTATTTTTAAAAATATAAATTTTTTTAATCCAACTTTTCAAAATCAATATTTTAGTGTTACCTTCATCATCGTGTATATGTCATTAATTTGCTGTGAGTCGGTACGCCGTTCTTATCCTACGAACATTATTTGCTTGGCTATACTGGTTTGTTTTTAAATTTTCTAATCATTTTTAAATCCGCTTTTTTAATTATGTCTTACTAAAATTTTTATTTTTCTCTTCAAATTATTTTAGACTGTCTCAATCGGCTTCTTAAACATGGCGATAACTGCATATCATGATTTTTCTAGCGTCTTCCTGTGTTTTATGATAACGGCTGTTGCTTGTGGTGGCGTTTCTCTTTTTGCTACCGTTACTGACAGAGATTTGACTAGGTTTTCTAATTTTTTATAATTTTATGTAAGTAGTGAGGAGGGGATGGTTAAGTTCTTCTTTATATGTTCGTTTCTACTTTTTTTTCACAAATACAATTAATTGTGACTTTAAGAGTTCAATTATAGTCTAAATATGAAAAAATTTTAATTTAAATTTTGTTTTAAGTTGTATGGGAATTATGTGTATGGCAACATTTTGTCTCGCAATGTTTGGATTAATAGTTGCTGTAATCGCTATATTTGGCGTGAACATAAGTGTTCTCTATGTTGTCTATGCAACTATTGGGGCATTCTTATTTTTGATTTGGCTTGCTATTGATATTCAGGTTTAATAAATTCTGAAATTCTTTTCGGCTTCATAAAAATTTTTTCTCAAATTTATTAGTTTTCAGATGATAATGGGTGGAAAGAAGTATGAGCTTTCTCCAGAAGAGTATATCTTTGCAGTTCTTGCTCTCTTTATGGATATTGTCCAAATCTTCTGGTTTATTCTCATGATATTTGGTGGTAATCGACGATAAAATGTAAGAAATTAAGTTTTTAAAATAAAAGGGTGAATAAAATTTGTTTGTCAAACATTTAAAAAAATTAAACGTAATTTTCTAAATGCTACAAAAATCTCTATATTTTTTGTTGGTTACTTAAAATTGCCTTTCTTATCCAATATCGCATTTTTCCGTTCAGTTTCATGGACGCTCTAATATCTTAGAAAATATTTAAAATCAAAAAAATTTTTAGGCGTCAATTGATATAGAAATAATTGGATTTGAAGGCCTTGAGAAATTATATTTGCAATTCACAACTATTTTTTAACAATAAATATGTAGAGTAACATATAACCACATTCCCTCAAAACCAATCCAATTCTTTATTTAACAAAACTATACACATCATATATATTTTTGATTTATATATTTATTCATTTGCTTTAACTGTGAGATCTATCAATTTATTAAAAATATTTTAACTAAATTAGTTAAACGATAAAACGATTAGTAATTAATATTTTAAACTTTTTGACAAAATATTTTTTATTATTTCTATATTAAGATTATGGAATATGGAGTAATTTTGTAGCGTTTCCTGAATTTTTGGACTCAGCTTGCATTTTAAGAAAATATTTTTTGAACAAAAGGGGTGAATATTAGAAATTGGATGTTTTTAGTTGGGGACCTTGACCAGATTCCTGACTTTGAGTCAAAGAAAAATCAAGTAACACTGAAAAATTGCTTGATCTGGACTCTGAATCCAAGATAAATCAAGGTCTGGATCCAGGTCCAGGCCGATCTCTTGTGAATATATGTAGTATTTAGTTTTCTTTGTTGTTTGTTTAAACAACGACCTCAAAAATATGTAGTTTTCGGATGATACTTCCTAAGCATTTAAGCTTTTTCGCACGTTGAAATGCCGATGATAAAAACAGTTTCAATTTTTATATCTCCATCCAGCTACCTGTGTATAATATTATCGTTAATTGGGCAGTCAGTTCGAAAGAACTTGTGTGAAAAATTATTTTTTATCATTTTAACCAATTTTAACTCTAACAAATTTTTTGGCAATAAATTTATACAAAATTCGCCTTTAAAAACTCCTCGCCAAAGATTATTTGGTTTAAATTTTTAATCATTTTATTGTTTTAAACCTTTAGGCTCTCCATATTTTGCTTTTAATAATTCAAATTTCTCTCCAGATCCAAGCATTTTATGTGCTGGACAAAACCACATTGGCCCATAATGGCGATAGAGAATGTGGTCGAAAGAACAAGAACCTTGATTTAGTTGTACATCACAAATACCACAACGGAAGCATTCTTTATGGACTAGAAAAATTAATTGATTTTAGATTGTGATAAAATAGTGATTAATCCAGATAATGAGAAAAAATATCTAATGTTGTGCTTACATAAAGTTCGCGCACAATTTGCGACAGAAAAGACAATGGAAAAAGAGGAGAGAAAATCGCGCGCGATTCTGCCTCTCGTGATTTTGAATGCTATTTTCTGTCGCAAAACGCAAATCGACTTTTATGTGAGCAAAAGCATAACGCGGGTAATAGGGAACTAAAATCTTGGTTATCGAGATTGATATTTTTTGAGATATCGTATGACCCTCCCAGTCCAGACTCTGATCCATAAATAAAAATTTTTTGTTGCCTTGTTTTCATTCCAAACGTATAACCGATAATACAAAGGACAGATTCAAACAGATATTTATCAAAATATAATTAAAATTAATTCTTACCGATATGTCTTTCTAAGGCAACTTTTTGATCAAAAGTGTCAACTTCATTATTACAAATTGAACAAAATGTCTTTTTTGCCGGTGGTGGAAACATTTTTTAAAAAATTACAAAAATTCGATGAAAAATGTTTTGATTTTATATAAACATTTAAGGACCGATTTTGGCTCTAATTGATTAAAAAGAAATGGTTTGAAAGGCTTTACGCCCCCTCAATAAGAGAGAGATTAATGAACAGATGTTCATTAATCTCTCTATCTTACTGAGGGTTTAATAAAGTTTAAAATTAAAAAAAATATTTTTTAAATTTTTATTTCTAAATTTGATGACGAGTAAATTTATTTTTAGAAAGAAAATAATTAGAAGAAAAAATATTTTTCTTTGTAAGGAAAAATAATACCTAAATATAGCTAAATTTGGTGTTTCGCAATATAAAATATCCATTTATTTATTTTAATCTTTGAAAATAGTGACGATGGAATGAAGATTGAATTTAAATTTTTTGTTGGTAATTAAAAAAGGGAACAGGTGACAGTGTACCGCAACCCAACCTGCCGCCGAGCTATAACTTTGTTCAAAATTGTCAAATCCGCGGTGCCCTGGTATGGTTCGATTCAGCTGGTCGAGCCTCATCGAACCATAAAAGGGCGCCACGGATTCAACAATTTTGAACAAAGTTATAGCGCGGCGGTAGGTTGGGCTCGCGGTATATCGGGGGTATACCCATAAAAAACTTGCATTATATTTGAAAGAGATGTGTGGATAATCTTTACTCACAGATGTGAATTATAAATGGAATTTATTCGAGAGAGATTTTTGTAGTTTAGAAAAAATTATTTTTAGAAATCTTTCATCTCTCATAAATTTTGTATGAATTAATAATGGGTAGGTATTCATTTTGAATAACCACCACACCCAAAATATTTTTAAAAAAATCGATGAAAAAACCTCAGTAAAAATTTATTTATTATCAATAGTTCGTTGTTTTTTTTTCTTTTTTCATTCATATTTTATTTAAATATGAAAATGCTCTTTCGTATTAAAATTTTAATCTGAAAATTTCAATTTAAAAACTATTTATTATTATTAATGTTTACAAGGATTATTAAAATTTACCAAATTCGGGTACCCGAAATTACTTCATTAATTGAAATTTCAGTTAAGCGATCATAACCAGAGCTGTTTGAATTTTCGATATTTTCTAACTCCTTTCGATTTCTAATTTTTAAATATTTTGTTTCGGAACAGCTCTCCTTCCAAATACCTATTCAAAATTTTTGTACTATCCGACTCAGTTCATAAAATCGAGTCGAATGAATCGGTATTTGGTTTGTTATCTCATCTAATGTCGAGAACATTCAGGGAATATATGAGAGAAAGAAATGCAACAGTATCCACAAAATCCTGACACTTTTCGACCAAAATCCGATGAATAATAAAACAATCTGGATTATAACCCAAATCCAACAATATTCACAAACATTCCCTAAATTCTTTTATTTTTTTAAATATTTTATGTAAAATAAATGTGGCCGTTTTTATTATTCATTTATGTAAATAGGCAAATAATTTTATCATTTATTCTGTCCTAAAAGATTTAAATGTTTTAATAAAAATACTTATCAATTCTTTAAAATACAAAAATAAAAGTTCATTCTAAAAATATTTTAAATTCGCAATTCTTTTTCTTTAATTTTTAATAAATCTGAGTTAAGGAAAGGGATATTAATTAGAAATCGGGCTGATTAAGTATACGATTCGAGTTTTTCCGATTTTTCGAGTTTTTAGCACTAACCACTTCATCTGACGATTATTTTTTTGCTTGTTTATTTTTCAAATTTTCTTATAAAATTTTAACAAAAATAATTCTTAAAATTAATTAAAATTTGACTTAAGTCAACATTTTTTATTAATATTTTTAAAATTTTTATTAAATTATTAAATTAATTGTTAATTAAAATTGTTTATTTAATTAAAAAAATTAATTTTTTAATTAATTTAAATTTAAAAAAAATTAAAATTGTCAGCATCTTTTATTTAATGAATCTTTTTAACTAAAATATTCAAAAATTAGTAAAAACCTTTTTTTTTAATAAAATTCGTAATACACTTTCACTTATTTCCAGAGGTGGGTCGGAACAGTCAGAAATGTCGGAAATCGGAAGAGACGGAAACTGGAATTGGCTCAAAGGTCGGAACTCGGAAATCGCAAATCAAAATTTATTCGGAAATCGGAAGGTAAAAAACGCCGGAAATCGGAACTTGGAAATCGGAATTCCGACTCACCTCTGACTGTTCCTATCAAATATATTCAGAAAACAATTTATTTTTAAAGAAAAAATGTTTGGCTTTTCAAATTTAAAACATTCAACGAGAATAGAATTTTATCGGAAAGAATTGCTTTTATTATTTCTTCTCAGCTTTTTAATTTTCAACTACATAATTATCAATACTTTAATTTTAAATATTAAAAATTCAATTTTATCTTCTACAACAATTCAATATGAACAAAAAGAAGAGGAAGAATTAGTTGTTGAATGGAGTTCTGATTGGGAGAGTAAATGGAAGGATTTGGACTGTGAGAGAATTTTTGGGGGAGATTTTGTGTATGCGGCAATGAATAAAATTAAAATTGGAGATCCGTTAGAAGAAGAAAATCTTCCGATGGATTGTTCAAGTATTCAAAATAGAAATGGAATGAATAAATATTGGAATAAGAAAACTACTAAAGAAGAAAAAAATTTTCCTTTGGCTTTTACTAGAGTTGTTTATAAGGTAGAAATTTAAATTGAAGAAAATAATAGTGGGGGGACAAAAGAAACAGAAGGGTGTGTTTGAAGCAGAATTGGTCCCTGATCCTTCGGGGAGAACTTTTTCGAGGAACATAAATGTCGGAAAATGAACTGATGGGATTGGGATGTGGGAATGGTCTAAAAATCATTGTTGGGAATAGGGGTCGTGGACCAACCTTAATTTCAAGAAGAGTATGAATGGGTAAAAAAGATTAAAGTAAAATGATTTGTTGTTGCTAGTAAGGTTGTCGGATGGTTATCCGGATCCGAAAAAGGCCGGATATCCGGAAATTTTCGGTTTGGATATCGGATCCGGATATCCGAAGATTTCCAACTATTCGACAACCTTAGTTGCTTGATGGGTGGTTTGCCCTCTCTTAACACTTCTCTCCTTTCCCAATGAGTTTTCTCCACAGTATTTCAATAATTTTTATTTGAAATTTATTATCTACTTATCGAATCGTTTTCCCGATCCAAAAAAAACTCTGATAATTTTCTATTTAGGACTATTTACTACTTGAAATTGAATTAGCTTTGCATTACACTCCAGAAAATTGGTATTGTTACGTTGTCGACTCGAAATCTTCTCCTTTATTTTACTCAAGACTACAAAGATTAGCAAAATGTTTTCCAAATATAATTGTAGCAGAAAAGAGATTTAATATTTCTAGAGCTGGGCATAATACAAATAATGCAATGATTGAATGTGCTAATATTTTGGCTAAACCTGAGAGACAGTGGAATTATTTAATTAATTTACAGGTGGAAATTTTTTGGAAACAAAATATAGAGTAAAGCAGCTGGGCTATAGCTATTTATCTCCTTTAGCTGGAGCTAAAGGTAAAGGTGAATCGACGGCTGGGAGCGAACCAGCATCTTCAGTAGACCGGATTGATGTGTTATCCATTACACCACGCCGCATACTGCACAGCCTTAGGAAATTAATAGCTATATGCTTTACATTAGTTAAATGACTTGTCCAAAAATTTAAAATGAAAGTTAACAGTCTGTTGCCATAGATACTATTATTTTGCCAAAAATAAATATTTAAAATTCTAAAAATATTTATTAGAATCACGATATTCAAGCAAAAACAAATGCAGAAATGGTTCGTATTTTTAATTTATTGGATGGAGCTAATGATATTGAAATTTGTGTTAATTCTGATGCGGATGAAAGGATTAGATATTATTTGATTAATTTTATATGGTCTTTTGAGGAATTGAAACTTTACAAAAATGGTAATTTAAATCAGAGTTGCGCCCCGACCCCGAACTCCGTTCTTGAAAGATTTTTTCAAAATAATACCAATAAAAAGATTCTTTTCCGGTTACGGAATCCGGAACTTAAATTGGATCCGATTCCGGTCAAAATATCGGTTCCGGTGAAACACTACTAAAGATCGTTGTCCCACCTTTCCGTACCTGTAGGTCCGGCAAACAGAATATCTTAATGATTCCTGAGAAGATAGAGATAGCCGATTTTCTAATGGACTAACTTGAATTTTTAAGCGTAGTTAAATTTTTTACAAGAAAATATTCGAAAACAAACACAAAAAATTATTTTGTTAGAATAATACAAACATCAAAAGCCATAAAAGAATAAATAATTTCTCGTATCTAACAATAAAATAGCATTTTATAATTTATTTTACCGTGTAATTTTAAAATTATTTAAATTACAGATTCAAAAAATAGAGGAGAATCACAAAATATTTTTGGCATTAATTTACCAAAAATTTTAACTATAAGTAAAGGCTATTCGGCAGCTTCACTTTCTCGGGCTTTTGTTGATTTTATTATAAACGAATTAAATTTGGAAAAATTATTAGAGCAATTAAATAAAGCCAAATTTGGGGTTGATGAACATTTGTGGCAATCTTTAAGTATTTCTGATAATTTAAATGCTCCCGGTGGATTTACTGAACAATGTTATGATTTTGGATATACAACCCCCTTTATTACTAGGTAATTAAAGATATATTTAAAAATTGTGTTAATTTTGGATTTGTTGAGAACTAACAATAAGTCTCTTAATCTCTGAAAATTTATAAAAATTCCTTGTATTTCTTTAAATTTCTCTGGATGCTTGTTAAGTAGTTCTAGAATATTATTAATTTATCAAAATTTAAATTAAGTTTTTAAAGACAATAAAATCTTATTTAATAGGATGTGTATTCGGGCTTTATATTAGAGAAGGGAATATAGAGAATATGTATCATTTACATTAGTGTTAATTCCGGTATCGAGAATAGAATGGATTTTCCCAAAAACAGAGTCCATATCTTTTTGAATAACAAATAGTTTTCTGACACTTACCAGAGGTGGGTCGGATCAGTCAGAGGTGTCGAAAATCGAAATTCAGACCCACATCTGACACTTACCAAAAAATAAGGAGTATTAAATTTTCGATACTATTAATCTTATAATTCGAAAATGTGAAGAATAAATTTAATTATAAAAATATTGTTCTTCAAAAACTTTCTAAAGAATCATCAATAAATTATAAAAACTTAAAGATATGCTTTATGGGGAAGTACAGATTGTTTAAGTGGAAGTATTCGACATGATGTTTGTGTCTTTGGATTAGAGGATCTTACTTCAGAAAATATTTTTAAAATTCCACATTTATTTATTAACAAAATGATGCCTGGATATGATTTTGGAGTAATTAAATGTTGGCATAAAAAATTAAAAGAAAGACAAAAAATAAAGTCTGAGAGGAAATTGAATTTGGAATATTATAAAAATTGGCCCCAAGTAAGTAGTTTTTTTAATTTTTTAAAAATTAAAAAAAAATTTTTGAAAATTTTACAGACAATTTATAATCAAATGAGGAGAAGAAATAAAGGAATGATTAAATTTTCTGAATTAAAATGTAAATAAATTTAAATAAAATATCTAGTCAATATCGGGGATCGTGCCGACATAAAAAATAAATTTGTGGATTTTCGAAAAAGCGAAAAGGCATGATTCTTGGTCGGATTATATCGGGTATAAAAATTTTATCAAGTGATAAACCCTTTATCATGTTATAAAACCTTTCGTTCAAATTTTATTTTTTTGAATAAATAAAAATAAATAAATTTGCTTCTAAATTAATTAAATAATTATCGGGTTTCGATTTTAGGTTTCTAAAATTTGATATTCGAGTTTTTATAATTAAGCTGTAGTTTTGTTTGATCATATTTATAATTGGCGGAGCCTAAGTTGTAACCTTTTAGTTAAGATTAGAGACATACCGAGACAAGATCTCGACCGAAAATCTCGATTATCGAAATTGATATTTTTAGAAATATCTAGTACGAATCTATGGCTCTATTACACAATATACGTCCAATCGACTTTTATACGTCAAATCACACTTTATGAGTTCAATCAACAAAAAATTGAATTTTTCTTGGTATTGCAAAGTAGGGGTATGGTTACGAAACATTTCTTCATGTTCAGGACATACGCCCACTGGGTCTAGGACAATTCCTTAACCTATCCCTCGAAATTGCTGAAAGTTAAAATCGTTTTTCTGACATTTTTAAAAATTGGCTATAACTTTCAGAAATTTCAAAGGATAGGGTAAGGAATGGTCCCAGACACAGTGGGCGTAGTATTTTTTTTAGTTATTAAAAATGCCCTAGAGCTCGGACTAATGTAAAAGAATATTTTATTGTCTCATATCTCGAGCATAAAAATGTACATATGTTAATATGCTTAGACATGCCATAGTAAATATTAAAAAAATATTTTTAAATAAATTTGAAGGTGTGTGGGAGCATGAGCTTTTATTTGAAAGATTGTGGGAATTTTGTGAATTTTTACTGTACTTTTCTTGACGTCCCTCATACATATTTCTTTTTTTATTTAATTTATTATTACAAAAATTTTCAACAAACTTTAAATAATTAAATTTTCTTCAAAACTTTTTTTCCATTAAGATTATTAAAATTAGAGTTTGAACCAAACCAAACCAAGTTTTCCGGGCACTGTGACCCAGAAAAAGTGTATCTTCATAAAATCGGGTTTTCGGAGTTAATCGCGGGTTCCTCGCTCTAATTTCCCAGACTTTAAGGATCCGGGCTTTAAACTTCAATTTTACGTGCTTCGCGGTTCCCAAATAATCAACTTGATTATTTGGGAACCGCGAAGCTTCTTATCTCGGCTCATAATTGAGTCACGAATCTAATTTTGGTGTCATTCGACTCAGTTCGCGCAGCTTTTTTGAATGACTTATTGTTTGTCTGGATGTGAGCCATAACGTAATTTTACAGATATTTTTTATTAAAAGCCACGGAAGAATAATGATAACATAAATAAAAACAATAACAATTCCATTGAAAGCAAACGTTGTTTTTTAGTATACTTCAATAGCAGATCACGAGGGAATAAAATTCCTAATTTTAAGCATTTTAATAATCAACACGACTCATATACATACTTATGTCTTGTGACTGAAACCTGGTTGACTAATAAGATTTTACCTTTGGTGATAAATACCTTTTATGATAATAGGGACCGGGCCGGGCAAATTGAAAAGTTCCAACTCTAATTTTAACAATTAAATTATAAATATTTTTTATTAAATTTCCATCAAGAAATGGACAACAAAAGTTTCTACAGCGTTAGTTTTTAATTCTTAATTTGAATAAAATAAATAATTAAAGGCGTTATATCCAAAATACAAGGACTCTGGATTTGTCCCCGAAATATTTCTTAATGCATCAACTACTACATTGTTTTCTTTGATTATAGTAATATCAAATCTAAGTCTTTGCTATATCTTTATTAAATATAGGTGCTAAATTAAATTAAATATTATAACAAACCGGCCCGGTCCGGTCCGAAAGATCGAGTCGGGCATCGAATTTAAGGCCGAAAAAGACTCGACCGAGCTGGCCCGATAAAAATAAAGCCCGAAAAAATGACGAATGTCAGCCCAACTCGAAGGCCCAACCCAAGTTCTTTATATCAATCAAAAGCCCTCAATATTCCTATCCTTTTTCTAATGGATGAATCACGTCTGTAGACCATTAAAAAGTTATAACACGATAGGTGCAAGATTTCGAATGATATAAGATTCATAAGGATTGGATCAAGCATAAAAATGATATAGACGATAAAATTCGTACAACAGTGAACTCGTACAAAATTTTATTCCGAATATTCGGACTTGTTATGACACAGATATCGGATTCGCCAACCCTCGTTAGGACATAGTTGGGAACAGAATGGCAGCTTTTTATTCGAATATTTTTTGATTCCCTGGTATTATGCCAGCTCAAATTAAGCAGATAATTCCTGCATTTTTTAAAATTAAATTTTATCAAATTTAAGGCAAAAATATCTTGCATTCAAAAGTAATACAATCACTTTACTGTTTATTTATTCAGTAATTGATGCTTTATCTCATATAATTAGATTAATTTATTTTGTAAGAATATGTATGGGCTTAAATTTTTTCCCAATTTGGTTGACTAAATTTTATGTAGCTTATACAGTTATTTTTAACATTACGACTTATTTCATGTATATACTAATCAGTTTTGATCGTTTATTCGCATTATCTTTCCCAATATTGTAAGTTTATTTAAAAATAATATTTGATAGAATTAATCGGTTTTAAGTAGTGTCTATTAAGGTTGGCAGATCCTGATATCCGGATCCGAAAAAAGGCTGGATATCCGGAAATTTTTGGTTCGGATACTGGATCCGGATATCCAAAGATTTCCAACTATCCGACAACATTAGTGTCTATAAATAGGACAAAAAGGCCACTATGATATAGAGTCACATGTGTGTTTT